TGCCGATCACATGTTCGCATACCCCTTGTTACCCAACCTCTCAATTCCATTCCAAGACCGTGGCCAGTTATCATCCAGGCAACTAAACTATAACAGAACACATTCTTCAAATCGCATTCTAGTAGAGCACTGCAATGGCAGTTTGAAGCAAAAAATGTAGGTAACTCTACCACGTTAAGAAGCATCAGATAGACAGTGCACACTGAAGATGATGATGATAATAATCACCTCAAAATTCATCCATCAGAGCTAAGTGATGTGGCAGAGAATAGCGATAGCACTCAAAAGAGGGACTGTATTGTTGCGCTGTGAAGTTAATTATACAAATGTATATTCGGCTATAAGTTTAAGTTTTTTATATGACTATAAGGTCTAATATAAAATTATCTGTTTTCAATTCGCATTTCAAAATATATGTATTCATATTTGATGCAATTTCAAATCAGCTGAAGCTATCAAAGTGATTCGTGCTCAATATTTTGTTTATTGGCCGTGTAACGACAGAAATCCCTAGATACAGTGTGATAAATCTATACATTAGAGTACAATTCTTTCAAGAATCATAATAATTGATACTATTTTTTAGTGAACACTAATTTTTCCAAAATTTTTGTTAGAAATAAGCAACTAATTTGTGCCTAGCTGTGTCGCCAGTGGTCATGTCATGTTGATCAACTTTGCCATCTCTGATATTTATATTTATCCATATTTCTGCTTGTAGTATGTCTCAAGGGTAAAAATACGACTTGACTTATGACTTTCCCTTGATGATTTTTTGTATTTTCGTAGTCTCATTACTTTTTGTCCATTTGGGGACTCTATGAAACTTATAGCTATGTGAGCAGATCTTAGTAATTGTAGTTATGCTCAGTTGTTTTAGCTTTTTAGTGTACCTATATTAAACTTTTGTTATTAAAATATATTATGTCCTTGTAGTATTTTTACTTCTTTCTTAGCATGAGACTCTGCACATGTAGGGAAAATATATTCATCCCAGCCAGCATCATCGTTATATAGGCGGACCCGGCTGTAGTTTAAGAAAATATCTTTATAGTCAGTACAATATATGAAAATGCTCACGTTTGACAGCCTGACCGTCCGCCATTTTCAAAGACAGTCGGCCGCTCCAACCCCCCTGAAAATAGCTGTATCACAAAATCTTCAAAATTAGTCTATAGCTGGAATATACATACTGTTTGTACATACACTTCAATGCTGGACGACAATTCTAGGGAACAGAGAAGAAAAACCCTACTATCCTAGTTTTATAAAAACAAATTTCCAATATCTTGGGCATTTTCGATCCATAATCATCGCAAACATTTGTTCAGAATTCTTACTTTTTGCTTCCTCAACGTGTCATTCGATGTATGGAATCACATTCCTTCGAATTTATTTCCTTACTTTTGAAATGAGAATTGCATAGGAATAACTGAGTAAGTCTACTTGAAATTTTTTGGTTCTATCATTTGTTCTAGCAAGTATTCCTTGATATTCCCTCTAGAGGAAAATTCAGAACTTCCAGGCAATCCTAGATCATTCTGGTTTACATCAAATGAAAATACATGGTGAAAAATGTTACATTCGAATAATGATTGTGCTTGATTTCGAGCTCTGACAATTTACTGGACAATAATCTGCTGACTAATTTGACAGTCATCAAACAATCAGAAATTTCTGTACGAACAGTGGATCAGTTGTCGGTAATCGGTCAAAGCTCCCTCAGAAAACTCGTAACGTTCTCATGTACACAATCTATACAGTCAGTGACGCGTCAGTGACAGTTTTAACTGAATAAACTAGGTCATGACTTATCGCCGACTATCAGTTTGCTGATTGTCAGCAAATAGGCTGTACGAACAAACCAAACATGTTACGGATTTGTATAAAACTTAATTGCCTAAAAGATAAACTGCTTATAATTGCATACACTCATCGAAAGAAGAACGTAACGTTGCCTCATTTGTATTAGTTAAGGGTGGGACATCGAAAACGGTAAAATTTCAATAAACTAATAGACGAAGCCTCATATTGGAATTGTATTCTGTCACAGTGTAGGCGAGAAAAAGTGGCAATGGTAATGTGCAACTTATTCTGAAATCCCGCCTTCTAAAGCCAGGAAAAAAGGAAAAACGATTATTCAGGGTAAATTCGGCTTTTTCTGCCTATCTCTGGAAATACTCTGTACCTGTATCTGGGATTTTTTTTTTTCAGTTACCTATATGCGCACCTTTGACCCCACAAACGATTTATTGCGTTTCCGAGATCCGAATGATGAGGGTCAAATTTAGTGCTTTTAGCAAAGTTAGGTTCAAGTCTGGCGTTTTGTCCTAACTTAATTTTTATAAAAAATGTTTTCTTCATTTAATTTTGACGGGCTTGAGAAAAGCGAGGCAGCTGCCTCCTCTTGCCCCCACTCTGTATACGTCCATGGTGACCTTCATATAGAAATTTTCTCTATTTGCGCGAATCTGCGAGAAAATTACAGGTCAAGTCGGCTAACGACTAATTTGACTAGCAGCGATAACTTTATAACCGGTTAGAAATATGACTTCTACCCCACTGTTAAGTCGAAATGACTTAAGTCCGTAATCCACTGCAGATTATAAAGTAAAGTCAATTTTTTAGAAAATATAAGCAGAAACCTGATGTCTGTATTCGGACAACTATCTTTATTTGAAGCTATCTGATAAAAACCTATTTTGCTATCTGACAAGATGTGTTCTCGGAAAATGAGCATACTCGAAAACCTATTACACCTATATTTTATGTCTTTCACTTCTCATGTCAATATTTGGTTGTTATATGACATGCACATCACGAAAAATCATCACATCTCTTTTATTGGTCTGTCTGTCTGTTGCTTGGGTTTTGATGAAAATGTAACACTCAAAGTTACTTCATGGTAGAGGCGACGAATAGTTTGTAGGTTTATCATATCGTAGTTAAATGAATGCACTCTGATTCCATTTCAGCCATTTGCACAGAATTCACTCATTAATTTTCTTTATTATACACGTGTAGAAATAACATTTTCAGCGAAAGGCTATATTTACTCTAGCATTTGTTTTAGCACTTACTATTATAAATATAGTCTAGGTAATCCTTGTCCCTGATAAATAAATTCAAACCAGTATTATTTTATTATCCTGTCACTAGGTTTGACCAAGGTGCAGATGTTATTCTTCAAATACAAACATGCTTACAATTCGATTTATTTTTTATTTATTGTTTTACAAGTTACACTTTACACTCTAGACACACGAGTTCTAAATTGCCGCTCGTACAACTTGGTTGTACACACAGGAAGTCAATGCGCGTTTTGCATGACGCCGTTATCACCCGATACGATGACGACCGAACGCGCGTTGTCCTGTTTCCACCTCATCAGTAAAGCTAAGCGCGCATTTTTTGCACCGCGTCAGTTTAAACGATCGTGTGTTCCAGCACTCAGAACGAACCTTTCAGGTAAAAGTCTTGCCATGCTCCGAGCACATAATGGTTCTTGATTAATTCTTGATTCAAAAAAGAGAGAGAGAAGTAAAAGAATTGGCAAAACATTTTCCACCAGGAATTCCTGCTGAATTTAATTTCACATGCATTGCTTGCAAAATGCTGAGATACATCTTGAATTCTACTTCCGAGATACTATCTGAATTAAGCAAGAGTTTCTTCGTAATTACTAAAGAATGCGTATTTCGGCTTTAAATGGAGGTGATTTGTTTGAGCCTATTAAAAAAAGAAGCCAATGGTTGTGTCTACTTTGTACAGTATTATGTTCATTGCTTATTTTAGGTTAGAGCTGTTGGACCTTGGAGTAAATTTTTTGCAATATTTATTATTTTTATTTAGCACTGTCGGGTTTCAGATCTATAGCTCATAATAATGTATAAATCCTATTTCGCGAGTATTCATCACGTTTTGATGTCTACTGACCAGCAAGTGAAGTATTAGTCTGTAACGTTGGCAATAGATAATGAATGGGTGCAAATGTAGTAAAACTGTCTTGTAGCGTTCCTTTTTGTATGCAATTGAACTTTTCTAAATAAAAGAGTTGTTAGCAAAAAAAATCTATAGCGTACAAAAAATCAAAACAAAATACAGCTCTGTCTACCTGCGGGAAACGAATGCGTCAGAATTGTGTGTTATTTGTCCATATGGAGATTTTTTGAAATATTACTACTTAATCTTCTGTTGGCATCTACTATATGAAAATAGATTCGAAAAGTTTCGAAGAAAATATTAAGCCAGATATAAACTGTACCTATACCACTTGTCTCGTTTGAAGGGGCTAGGAAATTTGTATGTTACGTCTATGAGAAGTTGTATATCATCATGTTTGTGAAGGACATTCCTTTTCTACCTAAGTTGTCAATGTATAGATTTTATCTTAAAGGCAGGTTGATATTGTATTCAAGATAATAATATTTTTATTTTGAGATCAGTCAATCAGATAAATTGATCTGTTTGGCCGAGTGATGCCGAACTTTTCCGCTATTAATGTATAGTGAAAAAATACACGAATTAATGATGATGCAATCACATTAACTGATTGAATACAAATGGATCTATTGAGAGAACACTTTGCGAAATTGTTTTAGCTTTAAGATTTATTTATGATCAAAATAACTGTAAACTGAATATGTAACATTTCTCTTTATAAAAATTCACTCTTGCAGATGCTTTTATATCCCACCAATACCAGATCGCGTTGTGTTTTAAATTTAAATGCATTCACACGCCTCGTGAAGTATCAAAGTACATAACCTCTGTGAATGTCAAATTGTCCTCGGGAAAAGATTTTTGAACTCCAGTGACTGTGAAGCTTCATAGCAACAACAGACTGCAAACTGTTTTCAACAAAATCTGCCAGATCTAACGTATCAAACGCAAAATATGCAATGTCACAAATTGTGTTATGCACTTATAGTTATTCTAAATTAAGCATTTCTATGGATGCCCAAAATAAATGTATAAATCACAGAAATATTTAAACTTACCTGCCAAAACCGACACTAACGTATAACTTAACTTTATCTGGACTGAAACATCTTGCGAGTAGTCGTTATTGTTAATTGAACGGGATCTTGAACAATTAAAATTCGTTATAGGATGGTACACGATCGTGTTATCTGTTGATTTTTCAGCTTTTTTATTAAATGTTGTTCATTATTCAACGCGAGGGTAACACCACGTAAACTGTGAAATAAATATTTTGCAGCACGTTGTCGTTGTAAGATTTTTCTATTTTTATTTGCATTGGCGAGTTTGGCTTCACTTGGCAAGCCTTAATAACTTGCGTCAGGTGGAATCGCGCTATACGGAATTAGAGCATGCATGTTTGTACGACATAAGTTTACAGACATAAGTTTTACGGCAGACTATGTCGAAGGTAAATCTTCGAACAATATTTATTCTTGTGTGTTATTTTGGAGTGAAAGTGCAGAGCGCTCTAAGGTTTATGATGCGGTCTATTAGGTATAACACGAAACATAAAATGTAGATGGCAATTATTATAATATAACACGAAACATAAAATGTAGATGGTAATACGATCGATGGGAATTATTATAACCTTTTCAGCCCAGACAATCTCGAAAAAGGGCTACAAGAACAGAAATATCAATATGTTAAAGTTTTCGTTAACTTCACCACACACCATTGAGTTTTTAAATGCGTAGTAAAAAGAGAGGATTGACGGGTTTATGGGAGTATGTGGAACGAATGATTGTACAGGGTGAATCAAAAATGATGTCAATATTTGTATAGCAGAAATATCATCCAAGCTCAAGCTTTCTAAACGGATTTTATTGACAATTCATATAACGTGGACACTTTATTCAACAATGCAATAGCGATTTCAAAATGCCTCAGTTCCTATACACCATGACTGGTGTACTTTAGGTCTTGAAATGTTTGTACATTATGGAACATAGCGTTTTGTGTGATGTGTACAAAATTAAAATTTGATACCTCTCCACTGTGGATATATGATCTTTTCTTGGTGTAGACTGCAACATCTCACTACACAGAATCTCTATAAATCGCATTATAGGGCTCATGATTATTTAAATTTTCCATTTTAGTTATCGGACGTCTTTAGGTTCTGGAAATATTGTCACTGATTTTGAATCAAGCAGTATACGTATATCCCGTTTAAACTGACCATTGAACATAAATCAAAAATAATATTTCACAGAGTAACAATATGCTACAAAATATGGATTCTCGAGTGTTCAGTTTATACAATATTGTGATTTCCATATATCAAATGAATTATGCAAAATTACCTAAGGGCTAACAAATCTTGCTGACCCTATAGGTACTATAGCATTAAATAGATGTGCAAAGTTTTATTTATTAATATGTTCATATAATCGTTCTTTAACAATTAGTATATAGGAATAGTCCACAAGTAATAAAATCATAGCCAAGCGTTTCTATGCAGACGCTTTATTTAAACTTTTGTATCGCAAATATTAGTCAGTAATGAAACTTTCCTAATGCCTTATTGGATATACCGGGTGTAACAAAAGTAATGAAACGGCTCTGATTTTAATATGTATTAAAATCTAACCAAGGACACCCTTAAAAGTCGAATGTCTGAGGCTAGGGAGAATTTCTAAAAGTTAAGCAGGATTATAGAGAAAAAATCCACTAACTTTTAACAACGATTCCATATTTACTTTAAATTTTACCTTGAGACTCACTTTCAAGGTCATAATAGCACATGAAGAGGTGTTATTCCCAGTTAAAAAATAGTTGACCTTGAAATGACATTGAAGGTAATATCAAAGGTTATACAGACTTGTCCCTAATATTTTTTATCAGTAATACTGCTAAGCTTCTATAGGAATAACTCACACATTTGACTTTTTGTTAATCTTGATCTTAGATTTTAATACATATTCAGACGTAGAAAGTTTCACTCTTTCGATTGCTGGGGTTACAAAAATGGCTTTCCATATAAGGACAAAGATTGACCTTAAAAAAACTTAAAGTGCAAGGTCAAATCTAAGGTACCATTGAGTTCCCCGTTCGAAGTTAGTAGACCTATCCTTGACCTTCTTCAGAAATAATTTACGTGAAAAAATACAGAGCCACTCCGTTAGTTTCATTACACCCAGTATGCACCATGCACTCGAGACGCCACTGGAGTAAACGTCTGTAGTATAAACAAAAAATAGTTAATACTCACATTTGCACCAATAACAACTATTACTTAATGCCAAAGAACCAAACGTGTATATTCCAACTGGTTTCTGAATTATTTGAGTATTTTGTTTATCGTTCAGGAATAATTCCAACAAATAAAGACACTATCATATACATTTTAGAGCTAACAAAGAAAGAAAACGCTTTAAAAGATCACGTTTTGTTTTTCCAAATATTCTGTAAACTTTGGTTACCATATACACTTAGACAAATAGGAACCTTCAAACTAATATTGTTCACGAATTTTGTGATTGATCCCTTTTGAATATTTACTTTTTGAGTATTTGATATCTACTTGTTGTGCAGTGTGGAGAGTCTCCGAAGGAAATGCAAATAGCTGCTCTAATGAAAATATATACTAGACGTCACTTGATTCACATTCATCGAGTGGTATCATCAATAGTTGAACGTTTAAACGGATCTTCAACATTGAAGTTTTGTTTCAGGGCGCCAGAACCATATAGGTAGATTTGACCAATTTTCTTGGTTGTCTGAGTCATAAGAGAACCGCTTAGAATAGAGATATTGAGTGTTGGAATTCTTAACAGTGTGGAAAAGTCATTATACTGAGAAAGTACCCTTCTGCAGTAGCTGAACAGTTTTGACTAAGTAACTGAACAACTAGTCACCTGAACAGTAGTAGCATTGGAGATGCAAATCCTGACAACTAGACTACCTTAGGCCTTTTTTGTCTTTTGTCGAGCCCGTTATACCATTAGTCACCAGTAAATGAACACGTAATTGTTTCAACTACTAATGTTGCATAGCAGTTAACTGGTATGTTGACAATAGTTGGGTGGGTTTTTCACGTTCTCAGAGGGCGTTTAGCGTTTTCGGGATGACGGGCAAGTGCATGTGTATGGTACATTAAAATAACGATACATAATCTCATGCTCGCTTGTCGCTTTGGGGGCCTAGATAAGCTTTGGGAATGGGAATGCCTACCCCATCCGGTCCTGGGTTTTTCTGGTTTTACACTGTGCAATCCTGAAGTTGCAATGATTGCTTTGCGTGATGTCGCCATACTATAGGACAGTTAATCGTCTATTGCCGCAACATACCGTATAGGAATGAAGAACAGAAAATATAAATGAACTGGCATTTGGAAGACAGATAAACTTGAAAAAGTTCACTATAGTGGCCGAAACGTCGAACAATAAACAGAAATTGACACATATATGTTGTTTGATTCGGATTCGTAGAGACAATGGAGACCCATAAAAAAGTGTTCATATAAAGTTTTTCTTTAGAAGCACCCAAAGAATCACTCTTTGAAGTTTCGCCAGATAATATATAAATATTATTATAAATGTGCAAGCGCTGAAATAACGGCTTTTTCTAAAAAGAATTGTCTGACAGTGTGTTTATTAAAATATACAATTAAAATGGCATTTTATTGTTATATTTACGAGAAACGTAATGCTTGTTAGCTGATACGCTGATAACGAAAGTTTTCAAACCCACGTTTAACAGTCGAGGTAAGTTGCAAGCTTTATCCTATATAGACCGCGGGCACCGGATACAACAAAATGTCAATCATTGAAGGTTATACCCACAACTTTGAATTTCAGGCAAATTACGCCAAATTTGTTATTTGTATCAAAATTAATGGACGGATGTGACTATATGGAAAAACAAGATAAAGATACAGTGATTGAAATGCAACTAAAAACTGGCGTCAAGTTGACGTAGTTGACGTTGCATTTCCCAGGCTACGCTGTCATCAGTTCGTGAAGAATTATGTTAGTCACAAGATATTCCTTCTGAGAAAAGGGTTAGCTACAAACATGTATAACAAAAAAAGGACATTCCTCCTATCCCCTGAGAGGAATTGCTGCAGTCGCACATGATCGTTGCGATCACCAATTCCGCGTCAATGACGATATTGACCTTCACCATGTACACTTCACCCAGTACACAGCAGTACGGAAGCGATTGCCGACTGTGACGTACGACGACCGACGACGCGGCTTGCCCATTGAGGGTCGACGTCGTACGTATCGACTCGATACCCTATTGTATTTCTATGCTTTCAGGGTAAATGTACCCGCCAGTAGGTGTGGGAAGTAAAAGCAATAGCTGGTTGTAGTTTTATATAATTTAGTAATTTGTTGTATTCTTTCCGGAACATGATAGGGGACCTAAAATGCAAAAAAATTCTCCATATGCATGGTACAAAATCCATCAATCTTCGAGACATTTAAATTTTTATGATTTTTTATCAATGTTTTCAAAAAAAGATAAAAATATCAGTATGGAAAGTGTTTTCAATTTCAATAATTATTTCAACTGAACGTATTTATTTTCTATGAATGATGCTTAATATGACTAATTGATGAATAGAAAAAAGGTCTGCATTCTCTTTCTGCCTCTTGATTTTGTCACCTCTGTGGTAAAAGGGCGCGCCATTTGTTTTGATTTATTACTTTACTTCTAGTATTAGGAAACGTCCATTAGTTACGTGAGGTGTGAAGGGGTGAGGGATCGAGCTGAATATAACCAAATCTCACGCGGAGAGAAGGGGTTCTTGACAAATATACTAAATTTTCACCCATAAAAAACAGTGTAAAATTGCAAGGTAAAATTGGATGAAATTGAATGTTCTAAGAATACTGATGGGGCGAAGTCGCTGCGCCTCTTGCTGGCCCTGGACACCCACGTTCAGAAGAAGACCAGCTAATATTCTTTAGTCGGAAAATCATCAAAAACGCCTCACGTTATCAATGGCTGGCCCTCAATAAATTCTCTTAAGTCAGATAACTGTCCGTATTTCGTGTACTTCTTAAGTCATAGAAGGGCTAAGGATTATCGGACAGACCGACAGAAAGACAGACAGGAAGCAAAGACCACGCGAGGAGGATGCACTTTATAAATTTATAATTAATGAATTTCTTGCAGATATATCTATATCTAGTCTATAATATGGAAGTCCCAGGGCTTCAGCCTGTCTTGTATCATAGTTATTGATTTCTGATTGGACTGCTTACCAGTTCGAGTTTTCATGAATAGGTAGCAAATTGTAAAGTATGCAGATACACAGTAACGGCAGTATCAACATTTTGAAGAGAAGCTTGCAGTGCTCACTGAACTTAGCATCTGCTATAATTCTTAC